GCCACAAGACGAATGCCAAGAGTCAAGTGTCTTGCATGAGTGATCTCATCAGCTCTTCAAAAGGACACTGTACAGTTGGTAGTATGTAAACTCCTCTAATGGCTCAAGTATTTGGGCCCCTGTCACCACGAGAGAGACCAGGGTGGAAGTCCTGGAACACGGTTTTGGCATGGACCAATCCCAGCTGTTGCAGCCATTTGGGAAATGAACCAGCATGGAAGACTGATCTCTCTCTCTCCCTCTCTCCCTCTCTCCATCTCCATCTCTCCCCCTCTCTGTTGTTTTTCCAAATAAATTTAAAAAAATACATAAGAAGTTTCTTGAAACACAATGCACATTCCTCATACTTACCTTTCAAAAGCATACAATGTGGTGATTTTTAGTACAGGTTGAACACCCTTTACCTTGAGATTAGGAGTGTTTTGTTGGATTTGGGTATATTTTCACACACATAATGAGATTTCTTAGGGATGAGACATAAGTCTGAACATGAGATTTATTTATGTCCCTTACACACCTCATTCATGTTACTGGGAGCTGGACCTGAAAGAACTAGCAGCCTCATCTATCGACAGATTGAACTCCCCTTTCCTTTTCCCTCTTATCTTGTCCTTGTTATTTTGATTCAGCACCAGGGACAGGGACTGAGCTTTCGGTAACACACACACACAGCCTGGAGGTAATTTCATGTAGCATTTTCATTGTGCCTGTGCTTTTGCTGCGACCCGTCCCATGAGGTCTGGTGTGGAATCTCCTCTTTGTGCTATCCTGTGGGCATTAACAAGCTTTTGGATTTAGGGACATTTCAGGTTTCAGATTCTCAGATTAGGGGTCTTGTTTAGTTTGTATTTGACAGTTGTGCAACCATCACCAAAATCTAATCTTAGAACATTTTCATCTTCCCAAAAATATACCCTGACCTCATTAGGAGCCCTTCCTTGTTCATCCCTCCCAGGAGCCCCAGCAGTCAGCTGGCTACTTCTTGTCTGTGCATTTGTCTCTCTGGACATTGCATACAAGTGAAATCACACAATATGTAGTCTTTTGTAACTACTACTACTTTTGTTCTCTTAAATTACCATTTTTAAATTTTTGATTAACATGTAATACTTGTACATTTTTATACAGTACATTATACTATTTCATCACGTATTCACAGCATAAACCACCCAAAACAGGCAACTAGCCTTTCTCTTTCCTTACCTTTATTTTATGTTTGAAGGCTGATGGCTCCTCTCTTCCAGTTCTTTATATGGTATACAATAGATTATTGTGAACTATAATCATCCCACCACACTACTGAACAGTAGCAATCGTTCCTTCCATCTGGCTGTGTGGTTACTTCCATCTGACTGTGTTTGGCACCTGTTACCCAACTTCCCTGTATCTTCCCGCCCCCATCCTCCCTAACCTCTAGTAATCATTATTCTCAGTTCAGAGTGACTATTTAACTTGATTAATTAATTAATCTATTTGAGAGGCAGAGAGATGGAGAGAGCTCCAATCTGAAGGTTCATTCCCGAAAGCTTATAATGGCTGTGGTTGGGCCTGGCCACAGCCAGGAACCAAGAAATCAATCCAGGTCTTCCATAGAGGTGGCTGTGACCCAACTACTTGAGCCACACTATGACCTCCCAGGGTTTGCATCGGCAGGAAGCTGGAATCAGGAGCTGCAGGCAGGTACTGAATCCAGGCACTCCAACATGGGATGTGGGCATAATAACCAACATCCTGCCCCTGGGCCAGACTCCTACTCCCACCTATATTTTTAAACTTTTTAAACTTCAACACATGAAAGAGAACAAACAGCATTTGTCTTTCTGTGCCTGGCTTATTTCATTTAATATAATGATCTCTGATTCCAAGCATTTTACTAAAAATGTCAGATTTAATTCTTTCTTTTGGTTGAGCAGTGTTTCAGTGTGTATATCCCACATTCAGTTTACCCATTCATCCATAGATGGACAGCTGGGCTGACTCCAGATCTGTGCTCCTCTGATAGTGCTGAAACAAACAGGGAATGCAGATGTCTGTCACCCGGACTCAAACTGCACATATTATGGGGTGTGGGTGTCAAAAGGGCAACTTGTCCCACTGAGCCACACTTGCCCCTGCTTCCACTTTTTGACTACTATGAATAGTGCTGGTATGAACGTTTGTGTGCACATTTTTGTCTGGACATGTTTGCAATTCTCTTGGAACTGCTGGGTCACATCAGGACTCTGTAAGTTTTAAGTGTCTTCCAAAGTGGCCGTACCATTTTACTTTTCCAACAGCAACGGATTAGAGTTTTGATCTCTTCCCCTCCTCAACACTTGTTATTGTCTGTGCTTTTTATTTTTAGCTATGCCGGGGGTTTTGTGGGGCGTGTGTACATTTTCCTCACAATTGTTCTTGAGCATCTTTTCAAATGTGTACTGGATGAACTGAATATTTTCTTTGGAGAAATGCTTGCTTAGATCCTTTGCCCACTTTGAATATTGGTTTTTCTTTTTAGTTGTTGAGTTATAAGTGTTCGCATATATTCTGGATATGTTTTGCAAATATTTTATCATAAACATGTTTTGCAAATATTTTCTCAAATCCTTATTTTTTTAAACATTTTTGATGGCATAGTTTGATCCATAAAAGTTTTTGATTTTTATGAAGTTCAACTTATTTATTCTTTTGTTATTTACGCTTTTGATGTCATATCAAAGAAACCACTGCCTAACCCAAGATCATGAAGATTTTGGCTTTCCCACTCATGGCTATGGCCCATTTTCAGAGTTGCACACAGTGTGTGAACACAATTTTTAGAGAAAACTAATCAAAGAGAGGTCAGGCATTTTCCCGGTCTCTCAATAAGCGAGGGATCGAGCCAGGATAAGATCTCACCACTTGGCTACGGAGTCTGCACACTGAGTCTAGTTGTTAGGATGACTTCTAAGTCGCAACTGGTATTTTTTCGTCCATCAAAACAGATGTAAATTGACAGATTATGTGGACTTCGCTCTTTTAGTTATCAGTGAGTAGAGACTCCTAAGGAAGAAGACAATATCCTCAAAAAGGGGTTGTTAGGTTTCTACTTTATTCAAAGAAGCACCACAAAGACACGTGAAAACTTTGCAAAGCAAAGCTGACGCTTCACGCTATAAATCTGTAGCCCTCACACTGTACTGGAAACGTGTTACTACTTCACACTTAACCCACTGCTTTTGGTAATTGAAATCACAAGAGAAGGCTGCACCACGCATTCGTTTTCCTCAACATATAGGACACATCATTCCTTCACTATATTAACTTATATAATGCCTGTCGTATAGCACGGTCTGTGAAAATTGATTTTGTAAAGGGAACCATCTTAACACTAGATAATATCTAATTTATTCCAACTGGTTTGTATCTATAGGAATTTCACCAACATGACATGTGAAGACATGTGAAAATATCTGTTCTCATGATAGGCCTAAAAACAGGGTCTGGTCATGAATCTGCCATTTCATGTGAAAGTGCAGGGGATCTGGGGGGTTAATAGCTTTGGTAATGCTAGGTCACATCAGCACAGACTGAAACACTGGTCCAGCCAGAACTGCCTTGGGTTTCCCAATCTTCGATGTATTGTTCTACCCACCATATATCACTGACCACTCAACACAGCAATCATTAACAATTAAAGTCAATTAAAATTCATAGAACTATGCGTTATCCACTGTATAAATGAATTATACTGCATGGGAGATTTCAGAATGGTTTATTAAATAAACCTTTCAGTTCTACCCACCACCACCACCACCCCCCCCGATACTGACAGGCTTTTCAAAAAACAATTAATTTGACTCAGGTAACAGTGTCTATTCTTTCCCAACCCCATTCAACTACTGTTTTATCATTTATGCAATTTAACGCATAATGTATTGTGAAAGAAAGACAAGTACTGGGTAAATTAAGAGTAATCTGCCTGTTGGCATTTTCTTGCTGACGCAAAGCTTGTTTTTAATTTGTGCTGTATGCTTCTGTTAATGAAACTATTGAAAATTGAGAGGAAAGTCTATAACATTCACATAATGGATATTTCACCTAGAATATCAGTAGAGGCTTTAAAATAATGTTAACTGGAGGCTCCTAAGAGATGCTATTCACAGAGGATGGTTTTCTTCTTTGAATTTGTAATGGAAACACTTTATGTTTTCAGGGAGTTCTGTGATCTAAACCAATCAGGACAACTGAGCCAACGTGAAGGGGTCACTGGAATTCAGAAACAGTTGAAACTGTCAGGCTTATTTTCCTTTCCAATGGCATAAATACGTTCCTGTAAGCAGTAGAACGTCACATTCTGACACCGCACTGACTACACCTAATTAACTGGATGACCACTGGAGAAAGCTCTCCAGAAAGCCCTGGTCTGAACACTTGAGGCATTCTATCCAGCCCTTACGGAGAAGCACAAAACACTGACAGTATTCTTTCATTTCTCGCAACAGAACCAGAACACAGATTCTCTCAAAAGCTGGGGAAGGCCTCCCTGGATCTCTGTTACCCTGGGATAATAATGTGGGACTAGATGTGAGGTCATGGATAAACATGCTGAACAAAGCATGAGCTCAAAAATACTGAGTCATTTATCATCTTCATATACGATGAAGAGGAACAAAAATGACACGTGCTAAGCGCAACCATCTTTCTTCACAATATACTGGGTGCTAGCAGGTCACGTTCCTCCAGAGACTGAAGAGACCATGGGAAGGGAAGTCCATTAAAGCAATGAGGCACCTGAGCTCCAGGCTAACCAGGGAAAAACATTTTGTAGAAGAACATGTTAAATAAAGTATCATATTATTGATTTCTGTTTTTCCTGGGAAGCCAAACCATATGACTTGCATGCTCAAGTCCAAACGTGCTTTGGAAAGGCTTCTGATGAACAGAGAAGCACCTGGGATGTGAGAAATTCAATCTGCTTCAAGAGAAAAGGCAACGCAGCAATAAAAAAGGAAGATCATGGCCAGGGTACCTGGGTTTACCTTTGCTTGGCGAAAGTGGTAGACCACCAGCATGCTCACAAAGTCGAGCAGCATGCACAGGGCTTGGAAGGAGATGATTGCAAGCCGCAAGTATTTATCCTCCTGGACAAAGCACGGGCTGTCATCAGCACAGGAGGGGCAGCCCTCCCTGCAGGGCAGGCAGACGTGCGCCTCTTCCGATCCATCCTTTGCACTTCCTGAAAAATGATGATCCGGACCCCGTCCTGAAAGTTCCAAACGAGACCACAGTGTCAATCAGTCGGGTGAAGGGACCACATGATGCTTGGGAGAAAATATCTGCAAGCTACACATCGGACAAGGGGCTGATATGCAGAATATGTAAGGAACTCAAACTCAATAGCAAAAGACAAACAAAAACAATCCAATTGAAAACTAGTCAATGGATCTAAGTAGATATTTTTCAAAGGAAGACACATAAATGGCCAACAAGTACATGAAACAATGCTCAACATAACTCAAAGCCACAATGAGAATATCACCTCTCTCACTATGATTGGCTATTGTCAAACAGATAGGAAATAACAAGGTTGGTGAGGGTGTGGAGACACAGAACCCTTGTATACTCTTGGTAGGAATATAACCTAGTACAGCCACTGTGAACAACAGTATGGAGACTCCTTGCAAAACTAAAAATAGAGCTGCCATATGATCTAGCAACCCGCTCCTAGGTAAATGTCCCAGGGCAATAAAATGCATCTCTCAGAGACAGCTGCACTGCCATGTTCATGCCGGTGCTACTCGGGGGAGCCTGGAAGAGGAAACAGCCTACATGCGCATCAACGGATGAATGGATTTTTAAAAATGTGGTATTATACAATGGAGTATTAGCTAGCCATAAAAAGGATGAAATCTTGTCATTTGAAACAGTATGGATGGAATTATAGGTCATTATGCTAAATGAAATAAACCGAGTCCAGAAAGACAAGCAACACTGATCTCACCCATTTATGGAGTCTAAAAAAAAAAACAGGTGACCTCACGGAAGTTACAAATGTAACTGTGGTAATCAGCACTGGTCAGAGAACCAGCGAAAGGCTGATTCACAGGCACTGGGCTATGAATGGACAGGAGGAAGTCCTGGGGTTCTACTGTACAGTACACGAAGATACATAAGGTTAATACACTGTATATATCACTACAAAAAACAGAAGGTGGGTTTTTGGATGTTTTCACAATAAAGAAGTATTAAATGTTTATAAGGATAAATATATTTGCCCTGATTGGACACTATAAAATGTATACATGTAATAAAATATCACACAGCATCATATAAATATGTACAATAGAAGCCATAGAAGTATGGCTTTTAAATCTTTAAATAAAAATTGGCCCAAGTGGGAAATAATAGTACGACCTGCACCTGTGACATGGGTGAGAATGAGTTCAGAGTGAAAATCCATCTTTACCTCTGCATTCTTTGTCACGTTTATAAAAGATCCTTTACCAACCCTCAAGAGACTTACTTTGCCTTTGGATTCAAACAAAACTGTATTCTTTAATTTTAAAACTTTCTTTTAGAGCAATTGAAGAAAATTAGCACAAATGGAAAGAAAACTCATGAAGGGCAGGGAACAGTTTTCTAAGCTCTGCGTGTCATTACCTACCACTCTCCAATGGATGGAACTCCCTAAAGCACAGGTCTTACTCCACAGATATTTGCTCAAGAGTAAACCAGGAGGAGGGGTGGGACAGCTACATCTTTTCACGCACCAAGTACATATTCCCATCGCGTTCTGGAACTTCTTGACCTACATGGTACAGAATCTAAAATGAGCTTCTGGTTACTCCTACATTCTGCAGGGACCTTGTCTATCAAGTTCATGAGGTCTAAACTGCATAAATGGGTACTTAAACGACAGTTGTTCAGTGTGCAATTGCCTAATGATGGTGCCTCCCTGGCCTAGAGTGCAATCCGCACTTTCAGGCTATCATGTCACTTCCCACTTTGCGTGTCTGTAAGACTTTTCCATCCTGGTAACCAAGGACTGCTACTAATCCTCCCTTTGATTGGAGAGTCTTCCAACTCACTTGTCAAACTTAAATTAGCTGTGATGCTCGATATATAAAGATTACCTTTATCACTGAGTTTCACAGCAACAAATATCCAATTAATAACAAAGACTAAAAAAATTTCCAACTCTGAACTCTATGAAGACATTCATGAATGTGTACTCTGCTCAGTATATCAAACCATGATTATCTTAGGAGAGAGTTTCTTCTGATTAACAGTATTTTGCTAACACAAAATTTAACAGAATATATTTACTTCTTTCATCTCTTGCTATCCAATCACACTCTTTCTAAAATGAATTAACCTACTTTCCTTCTCCGGTAAATAGAACAGCAGAGACATAATTGAATATTTAATTGATGACTCAGGGCATGTTACTATTTGAGAGTATTCACTCTGTTACACGGTGAAAAGTAAATGGATTTTAGTGTCAAGACTCACTTCCTACCCTGGATAATACTGACATTTGGAAAGTCAATTGGCCACTTTGGGTGTTAATTTACTTATTCAAGAAATATGAATTTCTTGGAGACTTTTGGGGAATTAAATGAGATGGTTTGCATAATCACAGTAACTGGTCTTTCTCCAAATGCAGGGGTTTCAAAAGAAAGGTACCACTACTCAGAAAACCAAGACACTAGAAGACAGAGCAGGGCTATGGGAAGGGTGAGTGTGTATGATTAATTCCATTTCAGACAAGAAGGCTTAGAGGCACAGCTCGTCACAATAAGAAATAATACCAGAGGTGGGCATAGGGGCTGGATCAACCCTGGGAGCTTGTGTGGTGAAGATTAGGCAATGCAAAGAGCAAGAAGCTAGAGAGGCAGAAGTATCTACAATGTCTTAACAAAAACCTGAGATTTACTGGAAAATGCTGGAATGTGACCAAACAGGATGACTGAGGAAAAGCTATGACACTTAATGGCTTTATAATTCATTGGCCTTTAGCATGGTAAATTCCAAAGATTGGTAGAGATTGAAAATGGGTTGTCAAGGTTAGAGGACTAAAGATGGGGTTAAGAAAGAAGATGTTAAGTGTTGTGCCTTTTTAAAAATTTCATTTTTAGTAGAAAGAGCAGAATGTGATATTTCAGTAGAGACGTACTCTATGCAGTGATCAGGAAAAGTGACATATCCATGTTGCTCAAATGTTCATTATTTCTTTGGGATGAGAATATTTAAAATGTTTCTTTTAGTCGTTTGGACATGTACGTCATCACAGCTGTAGCCACCCTGCCACGCAATGGAACGCCTCCTACTTAACTGTGACTCTCCTACTCCTTGAGCACCATTCCCCTCTCCCCAGCCACATCCCAGTCCCACCTCTGGCAATCACCATTCCACCCTCTGCTTCTATGAGTCCAACATTTTTAGATTCCACATAAGTGACACCAGGTGGTATTTATTTCTCTGTGTCTAACTCGTTTCACTTAACGTAAATGTCTTCTGGGTTCATCCATCCATTTTGCTGCAAATGACAGAATTTCCTGTTTTTTTTTTTTTCTTTTTCCTCCATTACAGCTGAATAGTATTTCAACATCTATCTATCTATCTACAAGTGAGAGCTGAATACAGTTGTAGTCAGTAAAGGGAATCATTGGCGGGCTCCTTAAAAAAGAAAAGGACTGGAGAAGTTAGGACTGAATGCAATCAACAGAAATGAACTCCTGGAACACTTGATATCTCTCTTCACACCAGGAAAGTGGAGGTGGATTAAATTTTTTTTGAATTTTCTTTTTGTTCCCCTTTTGCAGAGAAGAATCAGATGAAAACACCACTTTACTTGAGGAAAAAGAACATGGAAGCCAGTCTTGAGTCTTACTATCTCTCAACACATCAGGTAAGAACATGTGTTGAGAGTGAACAGGCCAGCTTTGAGTTTGCGGGCATGAAAGATACAGGCAGCAACACAGCACACTATGGCACGGGATCCCTGGGCAGGGAAAAGAATCCAGTTTGCTGGGGAGGGTTGGGGTGGGTGTTTAGCAGTTAAGACACTCACACCCTGTATCAAGAGCCCGAGTTCTATACTTGGCTCCAGGTCCTGACTAGCCTTCTTCTAACGCAGACCTTGGAGGCAGCAGTGACGGCTCAGGTTGCTGGGTATCTGCCACCCACAGGAGAGGCCTGGACTGCTACTTTGCAGAAGACCTGGGAGACCACGGTGCCCTGGGGGGGCATTTGGAGAATGAATCAGCAGACAAAGATGAAGACGAAGAAGAAGAATGTGTGTGTGGGTGTGTGTTTGTCTCAAAATAAAGCAATAACAGGGTAAGTGTCAGGCACAGCAGTTAAGTTGCCACTTGAACAACTGCATTCCCTGTTGGAGTGTCTGATTCAAATCCTGACCCCTCCACTTCTGATCCAGCTTCCTGCTGATGAGTACACTGGAGGTCAACAGTGATGGCTCAAGTCCTTGGTCTCCTGTGACCTACATGGGAGATCTGGATTGAATTCCTGGCTCCTTGCTTCAACCTGGCCCAGCTGTGGGCACTTGAGAAGTAAACCAGTGGAGGTATGATCTCTCTTCATTTCTCTCTCTTCAATAAAGTGAAATCAAGTAAATTTAAATTAATATTTGCCTTTTTTTGTAGGACTTTTTTAAATTTTTTTTTAACTTTTATTTAATGAATATAAATTTCCAAAGTACAGCTTATGGATTACAATGGCTCCCCCCCTCAACTTCCCTCCCACCTGCAACCCTCCCCTTTCTCGTTCCTTCTCCCCTTCCATTAACATCGAGATTCATTTTCATTTCTCTTATATACAGAAGATCAGTTTAGCATACATTAAGTAAAGATTTCAACAGTTTGCTCCCACACAGAAACATAAAGTGAAAAATACTGTTTGAGTACTAGTTATAGCATTAAATCTCAATGTACAGCACATTAAGGACAGAGATCCTACATGAGGAGTAAGTGCACAGTGACTCCTGTTGTTGGCTTAACAAATTGACACTCTTGTTTATGGCATCAGTAATCCCCCTAGGCTCCAGTCATGAGTTGCCAAGGCTATGGAGGCCTTTTGAGTTCACCGACTCTTATCTTGTTTAGACAAGGTCATAGTCAAAATGGAGGTTCTCTCCTCCCTTCAGAGAAAGGTACCTCCTTCTTTGATGACCCGTTCTTTCCACTGGGATCTCACTTGCAGAGATCTTTCATTTAGGTTTTTTTTTTTTTTTTTTTTTGCCAG